AGACAATCTGCTGCTTTAAAATAAAAGCTCTCTGACTGTGTGTGTTGAGTTGTCAGGCAGCCTAGAGTCAGTTACACTATGTTATAGGGCTATTGTCAGAGCAGTGAACATTTCTTCTGCCTGGTCAGTCCTGGTGCTCGTTCTTTTTAGCGTGCAGTCGGTCTGTTGGTCGTTTTCCATGGATTAAACATCTCAGTGGTACCTCTGGTTTTATGTAGAGTGGAATTCCTTAGTTTTCAATATGACGTCATTTCTAAAAACATGACTTTATCCTGCTTTTTGGAATATTTTAAATGGCTTCTACAGTATATATTGTGGGGATCAGGATTTACCTTCAGCTGTGACCACATTCCCCAAGCAGGTCACCTGTCATTAAACCCACTGTCATTAGCTGAAACTAACCTTGTGAACAGTATTTGCCAAACATTGTAATACAGCTCTTGTATCTATGTCACAGGCCTGACTTTGATACAAAACAAACCGTTAAGGATCCGTTGTACAGTAAGAGAGCTTTCCCACCAGCCGTGTTCAGCTGCACCTCAGGACTCAGCCAATAACCACGTCAGTTTACTGGATCTGTGCAGCTTCAAGGTTTTCCAGGTTTAACAGGAACTGACTGACTGACAGTCTGGAGTCATGACAGCAGTACAAGTCTGATCTATGGTGGCACTGCACATGTTGTGCTTTCATTCCTTGTGAGGACTTTACATTGACTTGACACACTTTGTAGACTTATCCTAACCTTACCCATAACCACTACTTGCCTAACCCTGACCTTAAACCATGTTGACCCCTAAAATTCAGTGATTGTGGCCGAGTCCCCACAATGTGAATGTGCTAACAGTCACTACTTACAAAGCAACGTAGGAATTTCAGCTGTTGGTTTTGTAATTCACATATCACTGCATCGAAATTTGCTATGGGAGGCTGTTGATGAGAGAAAGGAGCTGAGCTGAATGCACTCCAGCAGGTGGTTGTGAATCCATGGTTGGACACCAATCCATGCACAATAATTACACACAAGTGCACAAACTAACATGAATGCAGCTCAGGAGCCACTACACTGTGCCCTGCACACCACCCCCTGCCCAGCTCTCTCAGCTTCTACGTATGGTCCACCTTTGGGGTGCTGTCGGACCCTCAGGTTGTAGGTCTGAGTGAACTTCCTCCTCAGCAGGTCCCTCACCCTCTCGTTGTAGATCTTCAGGTAGCTGCACACACCAGACATATGTTAGGTTTGCCGGGTCTCCTCACTGCCTGTAGCCACAATTGTTGGAAAAACATTTTCATTTTCTTTCTGGCGTTCAGTTGAAGCTGTCACATAGTTTGTCAGAGGTTCAGGTGTGCAACTAAGATAACACCCAAGGACACAGATGGAATTTGACTTTATTAAGATGGTTCCTACATCTTGCAGCACTGTGCCTCTGTTTATGGCCAGTAGAGTCTGATCATGGACCTCTTGTATAGACTTGGTTGTCAAGAGTTTCCTTTTCTACTTTCACTGAATAACAACTGGTCTGAGACAAGCCTTAGCACATAAACCCTCCAGGTAACAGGTAAAGCAGAGAGGGTGAAGGTGCAGTGGTCGAAATGAGACTGAAGTTTAACTGAATCTGCAATCCTTCAACTGTCTGACACAGCCTTTGTTGGTATCTGAGTCCCCTGACGAAACGAAGCTTCATCCCATCAAGTCGCCTCAGAGATACGGGCTCACTGGGGAGTGTTTAATAGTTGGTGGATAACAAAGAAATGTTTTAAAAGTAAAAGCAGATTTCCTTAGGGTTTCTCTAGATCTTATAACTTTAGGTTTTGTGGTTTGTCTGCAGGTCAGCTGACAGAGCAGCTGTTAACCAGCTCACAGCCGAGTTCAGATAAGATCAACCCTATGAATAAAACAGTGACATGCGGTGAGGTTGACAGCTGGTGAGGCACTGACTCTTTTACAGGCAGATTTACAAATACAAATGAACCGTTAACAAATTGTCTGTTGACAGACAATGACATGACACTGCAGACATGAAACTCTGGCTGAGAAACATCCTGATTCTGGCTCTCTGGAGAGGTACCTCTTCACACCAACTGACTGTCTGCCCCATAGGGTCCCCTGACAGTTCGGGACCCCATTGAATGGGGCTTTAGGGAACCGAGGTCCACTTTTTGATCCATCCTAACGGGCATAAGCGGGGCCGCTAAAAATTGCAGGACCAGTCATTTTCGTAGAGCTTTTTCGGTAGTTTTGCAGGGTCTCGCAACTTTGCGGCTGGCTCGTTCGTGCTCCGAGCTACAAAATTCCAAAGTTTGGGGTCAGGGTTCCCATTTGACAAAGTTCACTTTTCGGCCACCAGGTGAAGCAAATCCGTGTCTTTCGGGAACTTTTCTGATGGACAGAACGGAACTTACCTGACGTATCGGATATGGGTTCCCTTTTGTCAAACGCGGGTCCTTGATTGTCAGCAGTCAGAAAGGAACCTTTTAGACAATGTCAGAAATGTTCTCATTTGTTACTGACAGGATGGAAACTTTATGACGGGAGGGTGTGTCTTTTGGGAACCTTTTAGTCAATGACTAAATTTTTAAGGAACTTTGCTGACAAATGGGTCAAGTGGTAACGGGCTGTTACCATTTATTGTGCCCTTGACCTTGAGTGCAATTTGCATTTATGACTACTCCTGATTGGTCGAGACATTTGGAAACCCCTAAAATGGGGTGTCTGGGTTCCAGAATGTCACAGGAACAAAGCAGCTCCCTGCATGTGTAAAAGTGGTTCAAAATGATTACAAGTGCCATAAAAATAAAATAAAATAAATAAAAATAACACTTTCAACAATAAACCAAATTTTCACAGCTCTTATTATGAACAAATAACCTGAAAAATAAATAGCTAACTATATTACTTTATTTAGCAGTGCCATAAAACGCTGCAGGTTGCTTTAAACCTGTAGAATGGAGAAATAAAAGTTGCACCAAGTCAATGGGAAGATAGCACTGGAGTATTAAACAAGCTGGACACTTGTCTTAACTCAGTGACATGTAGAGAATGTCTGAATTGTGCCAAATGTGTGGCGGAGTACCAGAGGCGGCCGAGTCCCTGGTACTCTAGCAGAGTTCCAGGTGTCACCATAGCCAGAAAACTGTCAAAATGTTAATAAAAGCAATGTACCAGGGCCTCCATAGTCATAAAAGTGTGAAAAACTAAAAAAAAAATTTTTAATAGAACCAGGGTCATTACAGCTATCAGCTTGCCCACAGACGAGAGCCTGTTTTGGGATAGAGTGTTTCATACACTGGGGGTGGTTGTGTGGAGGTGTGTTTTGGAGTACCAGGGGCATGACAGCTGTCAGCTTATAACAGTGGACCACAAATATGTCAAAGTCTTTAAAATACAGAGTACCATGGCCACTGGGGCCTCTACAAAAGCTCTGACATTTCGGTATCTCTTCCATTCATTTTCCTAAACCAAATTCCCATTCAAAAGTCATGGCACGTGTCAGGCAGCGCATGTGGCCGTACTAGGTGCTAGTGAGACCGGATATTAATTAATATTAATATTAATTTTCATGCGAATAGTCAGTTACATTTAGCAGCTCTCATCTGTGACACTGCAAAACCCCTAAAATGGGCTCTCTGGGTTGCCGAATGTCACAGGAACAGAGTAAATTTCTCCTGTCTTTGTTCAAACCATTTTACATTGGAAATCCAAATCTAGCTTCTATTTGAAAATTGGCCTTATAAAAAATAATTGTTACAATGCATTTTTTGACTTAAAATGGATGTGGTGCACCAAATGACCAAGAGATTGTTTTCAATTGCAAAACACAACTATTTTATTACAAGTGAACAAACCAACAATAAATAACACTCTCAACAATAAGCAATTTTGAACCATTACTATGAACAAAGCACACTACAAACTATGAACAACCAATAACCCTAATAACATACTACTACTACTAATGAACTAACTACTAACTATTTAATCTAAAACTAATATTTTTTTCCTTTTCTGGTTTTTTTTTTTTTTGGGTGACCTGTTGGCAATGCGCTTTGCCGATCTCAGCGTCCATCTCGTGGCCTTAAACTTTGACCCCAATGGGCTCAGGCAACCCAACAGGCGTCCTCCATCTCCTCCTCCTCTTCCCCCTGCTCCTTCTTTTCTTCTTCCTCTTCCTGCTCCTCCTCCTCTTCCCTCTGCTGTTGCTCCTCCTGCTCCACCTGCTGCTCCTCCTGCTCCACCTGCTGCTCCTCCTGCTCCTCCCGCTGCTCTCCTCTGCCAACTCTTTTGCCCCGAAAAATCACTGAAAGAAAAAGCTTAATCATGTAACTTTGTCAGTAGTGTCAGGCAATTAAATTCACTCACTCACTCACTCACTCACTAACCTTGGAAACAATATTTTGGTCTGCCTGTGGTAAGCGTCACGGACCTTACGTAGCTCTTCCTCCAGGGCAACTACCTTCCGTCGCACGCGCTTGCAGTCTGGGTTCTGGCATACGGGCTCCTCTTCCAACTCTTGAGGCACATCTTGAACGTAGTCCTCCTCCTCCCCCAGGTCCAGAGTCGAGGCCAGAGGCACCGCTGGGTTACTTGCCCGGAGCTGCTTCAGTAGGCCTATGGTGGTGGTTCTCCGGGCCCACTGCAGGTGGTGCTGGACCTGATCGCCGCTGAGCTCAGAGTGGCAGCTCCTGAGGTGTTGGTCCAGCCTGGTGCTCTTATAGACGCACCCCATGACTGGACATCGCTCATTCCTGATGTTTACGCGTCCGCTCGCCAGGTTGAGCAAGAGCTGCCGCTCTGTCGGATTGTGCACCATGTGCCCGTTTTTTAGGTGCTTCGCCATGGCGGCGTAGAACCTCAGGCAAATGGGGCACTGATTCCTCGTCTTTGGCAGGGTCATATCTGATGAAAATAAATACAAATAAATCTGATACATAATACTGAACAGTAAGTATCATTTATTTGTAATTAATTATTTATAAAATATTTATAAATAAATTATTTTTTTTCATAGTAAATAAGTTACCCAACACATACAAAAAAATAAATTAAAACATTATTGCTTTGAATAACTCAGTTTGGGAGATGGTCTGTGTCTGTGTGTCTGCCAGGGAGGGGAGGGGGTTTCGCTGGTGGAAAATTCCACTGCAGGGCACGATATGCGATGGTACCCTTTAAGTTTCTGCTGCTCTAAATGTACAAATTCAGCTTAAAAATAGGACCACGATACGTTTATAAACTGTATCTCATTGTGCAGTGTTAGGAAATGCATCTCAATTCGGATTTTCATCATTAAAAATGCAAGCAAAGCACAGTCAGTCAATTAAGTTTCGGCACTGATGAGCTGATGAAATTAAGTTGCAAAAAAGTCAAACATCATCATTTCTGACCAAGAAAAACTAGTTTCAAATAAAACATCTGTGTTTAGCACGTGTTTAGCAAGTTAAACACCGTCCCGTCCGTCGACCGACCGACCTCGTGTCGACGCCATTTTTAATCTTTAAAGGGCATTTGTCTGTCGCAGAATTAAGCACACAACTCGAACATTTATCTGAAAACGTCATAAAAACAATTCATGGAATAAGTTCACTTACTGCTTGCTCCCAGTGATATTCCAATTATTCTTCTTTGTGGGGAAAAAAAAAGCCTCCGCACTTGTTCGACGTCTGTCCTCCAAATGACCTCTCTTTGTCTGTGTCTGCGAGCATGCGCAGTGAGAGTGAATCTGCGTGGGGGTAAAATAAAACCAATTTTTCACAGCTCTTATTCTGAACAAATAACCTGAAAAATAAATAACAAACAAAAAAATAAATAAACAAAAAATAAATAACAAACTCACTGTAACCGGCGGGTTGGCCACGCCTACACATGCAGGGATTTAAATAACCCCTGGGGAGACCCTGTTGTCAGACGCCATTTTTGTGCTGGTTGGTAGTCATGTTGTTGTTAGCAGCAGAGCAGTTAGCGTGTCCAAACTACCGGAGCCCTCCTTCCATACATACTGCACCCTGGCCTTATTTTGCCAGGTTCTTTGCACATAGGACTGTCAACCGCAGCTTTACTGGGCCATTTCTCCTAACTCCTTGGTTCGACATTCCCCTTTGTGTCGCTTGTGACGCTGTTTTCAGACGCCATTTTGTGCTGGTCGCTGCCGTGAATCTTCCTCCGTTGAGCTGTGTCCTGCTATCTTTAAGGTTTGTCCAACGGGCTAATTGTATATTCGATGTATTAATAGTGCAACGTGTTTAGTCAGGCTGTTTTTA